AGTCTTCTGTTAATTTCTCTGACATTTTGTTTAAATTTTTTTTTTAACAGTTAAGCAAGGCTGTTGTGTTGTATTCTTCACTAGTTATTGCTGTCTGTAAACACTATACGTCCACCTCTGCAAAGCTGTAAGATATGGTGAAAACTAGCTGATTGTTAGCATGTTAAGAGACAAGGATTCGATACGATGTATACAAAAGACTTAATAGTTTTTAAGGGTAATGTATACGTGGTTTCTGATTTACAGCTAATTGTAGTTAAATTAGAAATAGAAATGCAAAACTAATATAAAACATTTCAATGAGATAACAATAATGACATTAAGCTGACTTCTCTAACAGCGCTATCATTCTACCATTGTTGTTATCGTGTTCCGTGTTTTGTGGCTCTAATTAAATGGATTCTCATTAGTTTTATTTAACTAGAACTATACGCCCGATACTTATCTTAGTTTCTGTCCTGACCACTTTTGTGTGTGTGTGTGGGAGGGGGGGGGGAGTGGGGGGGGGTGAGGGTCACTACACAACCAGACGATGAAGGGTCATAAATCGTAAACAGAAAGTGAGACACAATATACAAGTGAGTCCTGATAATCTATGTGCCTGATGCACCAGTTTGTAGAGGTGGGGGGGGGGGGGGAGAGAACCTTAATTTATTGTTTGATTACATTTACTAGAGCATCTAAATTACACTTGTACTTTTACGATGTGACTGAACTGAATCAAATAAACCCAAACGTCAAAAGTTGTATTCTTATTCATTAGCATTCTGAGCCTGTGTGTTTCATTGCTGCATATATCAGCCACTCCATTCTTTTCTGTGATTGGCCTTCTTTTTGTTTTTGCAGGTGGTGACTTCAGGTGTGTGTAACTTTGCCTGTAAATTACCTCTCCACAGTTTTCTTCGTCAATTACAATTATTTCTGGCTAAGAATACTAATTACAACATACGAGATACAAATTTACGTACAGTGACTCTAGGGAAAAGGACAGAAATGGACAAGGAGGGTTAAAAAGTTGAACTACAGAAGACTTCTTATTGCACTGTGTTTTTCTTCCTGATGGTCCAGCCTCTCTCAAAAGAATGGCCGGCTGCAGGGCAAGCGCGTCAGCAAAATCACCAACTCTCTAGCTTTCGACCCCTCCCCCCCCTCCCCTCTTCCCTTCCCCCGGGAGCTCCGTAAAAATTGCACGCCTGATATGAAAGGCACAGCCGTGATACGAACCCATGACCTTCATAACGTGAGATAGACGGCTTGACCACTTCGCCACAGAGACAACTGTGAGAGTAAGGGAACAGCAGATGTACACATACACACACACACACATAGGCGAGAGAGAGAGAGAGAGAGAGAGAGAGAGAGAGAGAGAGAGAGAGAGAGAGAGAGAGAGAAAGCAAGAGTCAAGGGTGAGAGAGAAAGTCGACAAGATGACACGATACACCACGATAGTTTGGTAAATTGATTTATTGTCAGTTAAATTAAAACAGAACACCCTCACAGAAGCCTCTCGGCTGCTGATGTTTGTTGTTGTTGATGTTTGTTGTTGTTGATGTTTGTTGTTGTTGATGTTTGTTGTTGTTGATGTTTGTTGTTGTTGATGTTTGTTGTTGTTGATGTTTGTTGTTGTTGATGTTTGTTGTTGTTGATGTTTGTTGTTGTTGATGACGAATATCATTTCACATTAAAATTGTTTTTCCGCCTGTACATAACATACATTGTCTTTGGAGCCTAAGTATATGCCTCAAATACGAAAGAACTGACGAACCCCTCCCCCCCCCCCTCCTTTTTTTCTACCCTGCCTACGGTTTACGACACATATTTTCAAGTGTGTGAAATCTAAAATAATCTGTAAAAACTGTCACTGATGTATGCTTTACCGCTTCTTAGGGCGATGTAGGCACACACAAAAGGGGGATGTGGGTTGAGCCTATGGATTTAGGGTCGCCTTGCTAGTGCTGTCGCCACGGACTGTGCAGGCTAGGAATAATCAAACTTTGTTTATGAGAACACATTAAAGACACGATTAGTGGGTCTGAGTGTCGTCTCACCAAAACGCTGCTGCTTGAACTTTTCAGTGGAAATCTGCAGTTGATGAATCAACACCCCCATAATCTTTACAGTAGGTTGTAGAACAAATGCCATCGTTTGCTGGCTGTTGTGGTTTGATAGTCACATTTTTCACGGACATTATACTTTAAACAGTCGTGTTTCAATTGTTGTAATACAAAAATATTCAGTTGTGTTTACGAAAACATACTTGAGACGTGAAGCTGCATTTGTGAATCTTCAACCAATACAGAATTGACACCTATTATTCAGTTTTACGTTCCTTACATGCACATGGCCGGAGTGCACTGATGCTAACCCAACTAACTAGCTAATTAGCTAACTAACTAACGTTCGATACAGAATCAAGCCTGCAATAAATGATGGCTTTCTGTGGTGTAAGGTAAAGTACAGGACCAATTTACCCGTCTTCGTGTGTTTTGGACATAAAGGACTATACCAATATTTTATAGACCAGTCGGCACTTGGTGGGTGATGTGGTCAGCATCACGCCGGTTGCCTTTACTTCCCAACAGGTACCCACTCAAGACTACGTCGACCTGGCAGGCAAAGCCATTTTTTTTTTTTCAAGTGGGGAAAAAAGTCTGGCTCCCTCAAAACCCAAAGCCGCTAACTTCTTCCGATATACAGGATGTGGGGGGGGGGGGGGTGGGGGTGGGGGGGGGGGGCTCTAGCAACTGCACCACCGCGACTTTCATCTGTGGTTTTACTGGTCAATTTTACGTTCAATATAGAATCAAGCCTGTTAGTAAATAATGTCTTTTACTAATCAATTAATACGTTCAATAGAGAGTCAAGTACATCAGTAAATAATGTCTTCCCGTGGTTTTACTAGTCAATTAATATGTTCAATACAGAGTCAAGTACATCAGTAAATAATGTCTTCCCGTGGTTTTACTAGTCAATTAATACGTTCAATACAGAGTCAAGTACATCAGTAAATAATGTCTTCACGTGGTTTTACTAGTCAATTAATACGTTCAATACAGAGTCAAGTACATTAGTAATTAGTGTCTTTCCGTGATTTTATTAGTCAATGTTTCACTTAGTACAGAATCAAGAATACCAGTAAACGATGCCTCCCCGAGGTTTTATTAGTCAATTTTAATTCGTGGTTTTATTAAATAAATTTTAGTTCAGTAAATAATCAAACCTGTCAGTAAACAGTGTCATCCCGTGGTTTTACTAGACAATTTTACGTTCAGTACGAAATTACGCTTGTCCGTAAACAATGTCTTCTCGTGGTTTTACTAGTCAATTATTGCGTTCAATACAGAATCAAGCACACAGTGAATAATGTCTTCCCGTGGCTTTATTAGCCAATGTTTCACGCAGTACAGAATCAAGAATGCCAGTGAACAATGTCTTTCGGAGGTTTTACTAGTCAATTTTACGTTTAACACAGAATGAATTAGGTCTGTCGGTAAATAATGTCTTACGATGGCTTTACTAGTCAATGTTACGGTCAGTACAGATTTAAGCCTATCAGTAATTTTTTTCTTCCCAGTGATTTACTAGTCAATGTTACGGTCAGTAAAGAATCAAGCATGTCAGTAAATAGTGTCTTTCCGTGGTTTTTATTAGTAAATTTGCGTTCAGTACAGATTCATGCATAAATAGTGTCTGTTCGTGGGTTTTTACTAGTCAATTTTACGTTCAGTAAAGAATGAAGCCTTGTCAGTAAATAATGTCTTTCTAAAGTTACTAGTCACTTTTACGTGCAGGACAGAATCAAGCCTGTTCAGTAAATAATGTATTTACCCTGATCTGCACCGATTACTCGACCAGAGAGCAAGTCTCCTGTGATGTTGTGTGTCCTTGTATTGGTGTGTAAATGTTAAGTAGTTAGTTTGTGCGATTCTTTCCATCTGGTATTCTCTGTATGTGGGTGTGCATGTGGGTGTTTGTGTGTGTATGTGTGTGTGTGTGCGCGCGCGCGTGTGTGCAGTTCAAACTGTTTGGCTCTCTCTCTCGCTCGTCTTGCTATTTCTCTCTCACTCGCTCGCACTCTCTCTCGCTCTTTCACTTTTGCTATTTCTCTCTCTCTCTCTCCTCTCTCTTTTCTCCCTCTCTCTCTCTCTCTCTCTCTCTCTCTCTCTCTTTCTCTCTCTTATTGTACCATGGGAGGACATCACACAAGCGACAAACACCCGGTGACACAAAGTGCGAATGAGGATCCCAGGCTCTGTTCACAGCCACAGATTTTTGCAGCAGGTTGAACGGGTTCGACTTTTTACTGTTTTTCCTACCACTGAAATTGGAATCAAAATATGTTTATTGCCAAATCATAGAAATGAAAACTGCAGTGACATAGCGTCCCGATGATATCCTGCTGGCCCAAAGGTTTTTGGTTCGAATATGCGTTATGGTGGGTTCTTTTGTGGAGAGGTCCCAGAAACCCCTTTCAGCCGTTAGGATATATTTATGGTCTGCTTATAGTCAGGCCCCCGTCAAAAGCTAGGGTGGGGTTTCAAATGACCAAAAATTGCATCGCATATGGGGACGAATAGCAGGCTACTCTCTCTCTCTCTCTCTCTCTCTCTCTCTCTCTCTCTCTCTCTCTCTCTCTCTCTCTCTCTCTGTTCGCTCGTGGGTGTCAATGTATGTATGTTTACATACATGTGTATATGGTTCTGCGCATTTGGCTCTCTGTTCATTTGCCTGTCTCTAAATGTGTATGTGTGTATATATAGTAATTACTATGTGATCCTTTCTATGTGAGTATTTGATCATGTGTGTGTTTGTCTGTTACCCTCTGTAGATGTGGCTCATTATGGAGGAGAGTGGGAGTGTGTGTGTTTGTGTCTGTGTGCATGTGTGTATGAAAAGTAATAACGTTTTAGTAATTACCGGTTATTATTAATTGAATCAGCAATAGCAACAACCAACAACTGACACATATATAGAGAACGATGATGCTGGGTCGGTTTTGGCTAACGACGAATGAGCCCATTCTTGATCATCCAACTTTTGATGCTTGGTGAGTACTTCTTCCACCAGGTAATTTTTTCCTTGATGGGCTCCACGACCTCCGATTCAAAATCAGCACGGTTCTCGCTCTGGCAATGTTGTGTCCAGAATGTATTGATCTGTATTGAAGACATTACCAAACTTATATATCGCAACAGTGTGTTTTATATAATTTGTATTAACTTTTTTTTTTTTTTTGAGTACCTGTCAAATATTATTTAACAGATTGTATGCCAGAAAGTGCGCACTTAAACTAATAAATGCGTCGGGCAGAAATTATTATTATAATAAAAAACTCGACGAGAGAGAAATATAAGTAACACGTTGAGCTTCAAAGTTAAAGTCGTTACAGTTGAGAGGGTCGACTTTACTACACCGAGAGTTGTCCCATATATATAGCTCTCTATCTTTTTTTCTGCATAAAAAGCGAGTCGCCTGCCAAGAGTGTCACATAAAGCACAAACACTCTAGCTCCAGTGACAGTTCCCACTTATTGCAGATTTGGTTAGTGTAACAAGTAATGTGGCATAAGGATTTGAGAAAATGTATTATATATATATATATATATATATATATATATATATATATATATATATATATATATATATATATATATAGCTTGAGGAATTCAAAGAAGCAAATAAAATGCATACTAAGCTGCAAAATTATATACAACGAACACATAACTAATTTAAACTCCTTTCCAATTTAATTTTAAAAATCTGACCCTCCCGACCCTATTCCCTACTTTCCTTTGCCAGATTTTCTGAGCTACTGCTAGGCATGATGATTTGATTTGATTCAAGAACCGACATCACAGCACTCGGGGCATTCCCATAAGCGCTCCGTCCCCATCTTTAGCAGCCAGCGAAGAGTTGCGATACTAATGGTGCCAGTAGCATTCTGATTACTGCTAGGCAATGTTCGGTTCTAATCCGCACCGCTGCGATTTCATTAAAAAAAAAAAATATTCGCGTCTCCTAGATCGATCAAGTCTGACATGGGCCTTATGAAATAAACTGGAAAGTATAGGCGGTCAGTATGATGTTGAACACATAACCCGCCTAGGAAATACTGGTGAGTGTCACTCACAAGACCAGACTGATTTAGAAAAGTGTTTCTGAATTAGAGCATGGCAACTCGAGGCGATTGTTATCACTGCATGTATTTAATAGAACTTTAACTTTAATTACCTCAGCCAGGTCCACTTTCCTGTTGAATTTCCGGGTAGCAGTGGCGAGATTTCTGCATTTGAAATACTTGTGTCTGCGGAAGATAAATTCTCTCATGTAAACAGTACATCAGCTTGGACATCCACTAGAAAAAGGACCAGGTGTGAACAGTACATCAGTTTAGCCATCCACTGGAAAAAGCAGTATGTGTGAATATAACATCAACATTACCATTCACCAGAAACAGGACCAGGTGTGAATATAACATCAACATTACCATTCACCAGAAACATAACCAGGTGTGAATATAACATCAACATTACCATTCACCAGAAACAGGACCAGGTGTGAATATAACATCAACATTACCATTCACCAGAAACAGGACCAGGTGTGAATATAACATCAACATTACCATTCACCAGAAACAGGACCAGGTCAGAACAGTACATCATTATGGACATTCACCAGAAACAGGACCAGGTGTGAACAGTACATCATTATGGACATTCAGCAGAAACAGGACCAGGTGTGTATGCATCATTGTAGGCATTCACCAGAAACATGACTAGGTCAGAACAGTACATCATTATGGACATTCACCAGAAACAGGGCCAGGTGTGAACAGTACATCATTGTAGGCATTCACCAGAAACATGACTAGGTCAGAACAGTACATCATTATGGACATTCACCAGAAACAGGACCAGGTGTGAAGAGTACATCATTGTGGGCATTCACCAGAAACAGGACCAGGTCAGAACAGTACATCATTATGGACATTCACCAGAAACATGACCAGGTGTGTATGCATCATTGTAGGCATTCACCAGAAACATGACTAGGTCAGAACAGTACATCATTATGGACATTCACCAGAAATAGGACCAGGTCAGAACAGTACATCATTATGGACATTCACCAGAAACAGGACCAGGTCAGAACAGTACATCATTGTAGGCATTCACCAGAAACAGGACCAGGTCAGAACAGTACATCATTGTAGGCATTTACTAGAAACATGACTAGGTCAGAACAGTACATCAATATGGACATTCACCAGAAACAGGACCAGGTCAGAACAGTACATCATTATGGACATTCACCAGAAACAGGACCAGGTCAGAACAGAACCTCATTGTAGGCATTCACCAGAAACAGGACCAGGTCAGAACAGTACATCATTATGGACATTCACCAGAAACAGGACCAGGTCAGAACAGTACATCATTATGGACATTCACCAGAAACAGGACCAGGTCAGAACAGTACATCATTGTGGACATTCACCATGAACAAGAGCAGGTGAGAACAGAACATCAGAATGGCAATTTGTGTGTGTGTGGGGGGGCGGGAAGGGGTGGAGGAGAAGTGGGAATCCAGAAACCATGAGTCGTAAACCCTTTGGCTCGGTACTATGGATATAGCAACATCTCGGCCTTGATCTCATGATAGAGACCGTTATTCTGGCGAAATATGTGGCTTTTCTGCCAGCTCCTGAGCGCGAACTCTTACCACAAGGAGTTTGTCACCCCTTTGTTGGAGGCAATGCATCAGAAAGAGTAGCAGATGTGAACAGTACCTTGGCGTGGCCCTCAGCTAGAAACAGGAGCAGGTATAGATTCTTGTGGGGTTGCACATTTTCAGAGTTAGTAGTTACGATCATGCCAACAGATATACATACATAAGTAAACATGGGCCGGCTGAAAGGGTAATTAATGTAGAAGGACTTTATGAAAGGACGAGACATATGTTACTGATGAGTGGCAGCTTAAAAGAATCAAACATATGTTAGTGAAGACGGACTTATGAAAGGTCGAGACAAATGTTAGTAAACATGGGCTATCTGATAGAATAAAACATATGTTGTGAAGACATACTGTCTAAAAGGATAAAACATTTTCTAGATGATGATAAAGATCTCTTAGACCAGCTGCAAAAGCAAGTAAATAAAATTGTTAAACACGACCTACTGCTAGTAACAGAAGAGTTTAATGCAAACGTGTATTCAAAATGTGGATTTTGAGAGAGCAATGCAAAAGTATGGAGTTAACATCATGGATTAAATATGGAAAACGTCCAGCCGAATTATGTATACAATCAGATACAGTAATTGAAAACACCTAAGTGACACATAAAAAAGACTCATAAATAAACTTGCATTGGTTAGACAGAGTGGCTTGGAATCAAATAAACCACATCTGTACAAGCAACGAATGTAGAAGTTTTCTGATGCCTGCGCATGCATGCCAGAACATGTGGACAATGACCACATCTTATGTGTATGCAAACAGAAGGAGAACGTCCAAGATTTCACAATGTAACAGTAAGAAAAGAGTTCCAGCGTGAGCGAAAGAACATATCTAAAGAGAAGGAACCCAGAGTTTTGAGGGCAGATGGGGAAAAAAAAACTATCACGATGTTAGAATCAACAATGGTTAGTTCAAAACTAACGATGCATGACCGAAAATCTTGGATAATTGATGACACAATGGCAGTGTAGAAATACTGAAGCTTGTTACGTGCAATGTCAAAACAATAGAGCAAGAAATCATGACTAAAGAAGATTACAACAAGAAAGACAAAACAAATAAAACAGTTGTGCAGGTCGAGATTTGAGAGCAAATGTTGAAGAATTCCCAGGTGAAGTTATTTCGATATTTCTTTTAAAGTGAGAATGCCCTTGACTTAGAAGCAGGGCGCCAACAGTCTTTACACAAATAAGCTAGATATTTAAAAGGGTATACTCACACAAATAGTCTAGATATTTAAAAGGGTATCCTCACACAAATAGTCTAGATATTTAAAAGGGTATCCTCACAACCTTACTGAAAGAATACCAAAGTCCAGAAGTAGACAAACATAACGGCCTTAACGAAGGAGCTTACAGTCACTGAACGAAAGAAGAAAGGAAGGAGAAGAAACATTTCATAGCTGTCACTTACTTTGTTCGTAGTTCTTTTAAGTTGTTCTTGAGGAATTCCCAGGCCAAAGCTCTGCCAGTGTCACTTGCAGTTACTTCAAGCACAACAGCGATTGAATACCTATCCGCAAACGTTGCATTTTCTCCTAATGTGGAATTTAAATAACTGGGGAAAGGTGGGTTGTCGGGGTTAGGGTGCAGGGAAGGGCGCACTTGAAAATACATGTATTTGATATCTGCGCAATGATAAAAACACAAAAATACACCCTCGTATGTATACTCAGTGATTCAATGGGTATGATCCGGAGGGTTCAGGCAGGTTCAGTGCGAAGACAATGGCTTGAATCATTACAGAAGTCCACTTTGCGTGAAGTCACCTTTATTTTTGTTCAGGGACACGCAGGCGTCGATGGAAATGAAAGAGCTGACAGGTTGGCTGGATCCGCTATCACTACCGACGGTCAGCCTATGGATCATGCTGATACTATCAATGCCCTCAGAGAAATGGGAAGGATAGAGGACTTTGGTGGCAGTGAATCCACATCACTCGCCAGAATGGCAGACTTGGGAATTACGATCGGCACAGCAAAAAATGAGACGCTCACCAGACACGCCAGAAGACTTATTAATCAATATAGAACTGGTACTATTAGCCATCGGACGTTAGGGTTCATACTGAGGGGAGGATCGGAGTGCAATGATGATAACCCAACTAACTAACTAACTAAACTAACTAACTAACTAACTAACTAACTAACTAACTAACTAACTAACTAACTAACTAACTAACTAACTAACTAACTAATCTGCGCAAGTCAAACTTGACGAGTCGCTGACTGAATTTCAGCAGACAGTGAAGTTCATACTAGAGATAATAATGTAAATATAGGTAATCGTTTCAAGTGATATGAAGAAGAAGAAGAAGAAGACTATCGTCTGCAACAGGACTGTAACCACGAAATTGAAACAACCAGTCCTATCGATTCTACCATCTCTGTTTCGTTTCTTTGCTTCCTACATAAACAAATTTAAGTGTAAATGATCCTGTTTATTTTTCTGTTGTTGTTGCTTCCTACATCTAAACATTAAAGTGTGAATGGTATTATTAAATGTTTCTTCACACATATACACATTACAGTGTAAATGATCCTATTTTCGTTGCTTCCAACACAAACACATTCAATTGTAAATCATTTTCCTTTTTCGTTTTGTCCTACATGTACACATTAATGTGTAAGAATTGTATTTGTTTTTCGTCGCTTTAAACATAAACGCATTACGTTGTAACTGGGTTTTTTTTTTTTTTTTATTGTTTAATTGCTTCCCACATTTACACATTTCAGTCTAAATTATTCTTTTTTACATTGCTTTCCACATACATACAAAACCGTGTAAATAATTCTTTCTTTTCCATTGCTTCCTATATGCAGATATTACAGTGTAAATGTGTTGTTTTTCTTTCATTGACATTACAGTAAAATTTCTTCTCTTTGAGTCTTTCTTCGAGAAGATATCTCAGACTCAACGCTGTTCCTGAGCTTTGCCACATACAGATATGCCATTGTGAATTGAGTTCAGCCCTCCAGCACATATAGATATATGCGGTAATGTTAGCATTGCACTTAATGCACATAAATATATGTTAGTGTAAGTGCTGGTGTTAAACTCTACCTACATATACATGCGTCTGTGTGAAAGGTGGTATTATACTTAACCTGCATATTCACATGTCTGTATGAATTTTAGTATTACACTCTACCAGAATGTACAAACGTCTGTTTGGCTGTTAGTATTAGACTCTATCTTAATATACAATTGTATGTGTGAATGGTAATATTACACTCTATCTAAACATACAAATTGGAATGTGAATGTTGGTTTTAGACGTTCACACATATACGCATGTGAGTGTGAATGTTGGTATTCAACTTTCACACATATACACATGTGACTGTGAATATTGAATTAAACTTCCACACATATACGCATGTGAGTGTGAATATTCGTATTAAACTTCCACACATATACGTATGTGAGTGTGAATATTCGTATTAAACTTTCACACATATACGTATGTGAGTGTGAATGTTGTTTCAAAAGACGTACTCTAAATACAAATGACAGACGCCAGCGCATCTACATGTCTCCTTGGTGGTCATATGATCAAATCCTAGTCCAGGCAGGGCTGTTTTGTATGCACTTTGCCCTTTGCCCTCCCCCTTCACCCCACCTTTACCCTCACCAAAAGACCAAGACTAAATTGATCATTATCTAATGTTGCTGAACACAAAAATGTGGTCGGCTTCACATATATCCCTTTTATCTAGTGCTTTTGGTATTTTAAACATGGTGCTTATACTTTACTGGTGCCAGCCTCGCGCTTTTTTTAATCGCTATCAGTCAATGAATCAATCAAAGTAATCGTTTCAGAACGTCGCTCACTTCACGGCACGCCTGAGTCTCTCTTTCTTCAGACAATTCTCCTGCTCTGCGTGTTTTCGTAACCAAAGCATCGCCAGTGTACTGTCTCCACATTCATGGAGTCGGCCTCTGTATTGTTTTCAGGAAACTACCCCCTCCATCACCGTTCTCTGCAGACCAGCATGGCGCTTGACATGCCTAAAATACCCCAGCTTTCGGGAGAAAATGCTATTTATGAGCCAGTTCTCCTTGAAGTTCAGGTCGTGAAGGATGACGACGTTTTTTTTTTTTTTCTTTCTTCCTGGTCCATGGTATTCTATGAATGTTTTTTAAATGGGTATAGTGTATATTTTTTAATGACACTAGCTCCTAGGTCGACAGAGTCTTAAAGATGTACTATGTAAGTAGTCATGGGAAGTAAAGGCGGCCTGTGTGATGATGACCACGTCACCCACTGAGTGTCAATTGGTCTATAAAATTATGAGTCAAGCATGATATGCCCTATACGCCTACAGTGACAAACAAGATCAAGAAAGTCAACTGAACTCACCTACTAAGAATGTGTATATCCAGAGAGCAAGCCATGGCAGAAATCATTTCTCGTTTTACTTGTGAATCTTCGGTCCTCTCGAACATCTGAATATAAACGTCAACATATTGTGTGGGCCATCAAAAACTGTGTCAACAGATGTTGGTCAACAAATGGTGACCAAAGACAGAGACAAAGAAGTGTTTCCTCTTTCATTAGAAGACATTGTTTATCTAGTAAAGTCTGCTACAATGAGTTACAACAATGACTGGCAACAATGTAGGACAAGGACTTGGAGATACGGCAGACTCATTTTGACATTATGTCCTGGGGAAGTAAAGACGGCCGGCGTAATGCTGACCACATTACCCACGCAGTGCCGATTGGCCTGTGAAAAATATTGGACCCTCTTCCCATATACCCAATGCGCCTAAGGCATGAAAAGGGATCTTTACTTTACTTACTTACTTACATTATGACATTATAAGATGTAATCCTGATAATGCGGGTGACCATAGGTCATGTTTCCACCAGGACATGCCGGGTGTGCCTCGGTCGACACGTCAGTCTACCCCCTCCCCCACCCGCCCCCCCCCCCGCCCCACACACACACACGCATTATTGACCTATTGTCCTGTTTAAATAAAAATTCTAGAAATTAGTACGAGAATATAATATACACTTATACTTGTAGACCATATTTGATGTTGTAGTTTCAGATTCTTTTAACAGATCCAGATATTATGTCATCCCACTGATAATACACATGAACATTTGTGTGTTAGAAACTGAGTTTTCCAGAGGATTAGCGAATCAGACGAGTAACAAAGGTTTATTCTACCTTACTTGACAACAAAAAGAATGAACATCTGCAAATATGGGCAGGACACGATCTACCAAAGCTTACCTCAAGAGCATATTCCCACTCTGGTCTGCCACCAGCTGCCACGCCAGCACAGAGAATTGTTTCCTTGAGTTCTGGATCAATACTGGAGGCAACAGAACAAATAACTTCGGTTTAAAGAGGACAAGCGTGCAGAAACTGTCTACCGAGCAACACCTAGTGGCAAAGCTGAGCAGGTAGACACTAGGGGAACTACTGCCTCAGAGGACCGAGTACGAATGCGTCAGACCGATGTACTCGATACAAACAACAAGTAACACACACAAACATCTCAATGTTGTTACAGCTGATCGTATAAATTTTATTCAGTTTTCTGATATGTGCACTCATTTTGTATGCATGTGTGTGCTAATGTTTAAACTGTTACTAATTTTCGAAAACAGCCCTACGATGAATCTTTGTACCTATCAAAAATGCTAATAACGGGGAATAGAGAGTGAAAAGCATCAACGACATTCATAATCGGTTAAAATCACAGTTATTCATTGGCATCCTGAGAAGTAATCGACTGAAATGGATGGGGCATATTGTGAGAATGACAGATGACAGAGAGGTAAAAAATATATTCACAAGCAAGTTGGCAGTGTTGGCAGGTCTATCTGGACATTATCTCTTCATTTTCTTCTTGGTCTGCCTCATGGTCTACCACCCAACTTCCCTGTGAATACAGAGATGGTCAACTAGAGAGGTGAGTGCAGACGGGTGGTATCTGAGGTGAGTGCAGACGGGTGGTATCTGAGGTGAGTGCAGACGGGTGGTATCTGAGGTGAGTGCAGACGGGTGGTATCTGAGGTGAGTGCAGACGGGTGGTATCTGAGGTGAGTGCAGACGGGTGGTATCTGAGGTGAGTGCAGACGGGTGGTATCTGAGGTGAGTGCAGACGGGTGGTATCTGAGGTGAGTGGAGACGGGTGTATCTGGGTGAGTGGAGACGGGTGGTATCTGAGGTGAGTGCAGACGGGTGGTATCTGAGGTGAGTGGAGACGGGTGGTATCTGAGGTGAGTGGAGACGGGTGGTATCTGAGGTGAGTGGAGACGGGTGGTATCTGAGGTGAGTGGAGACGGGTGGTATCTGAGGTGAGTGGAGACGGGTGGTATCTGAGGTGAGTGGCAGACGGGTGGTATCTGCAACAATAAAGTTTATATTTCTGACAGTCTAGTCGGATGCGGATAATGTCTGGGTTTCCAGCCCACATGTGTCGTTACGAATAAGTGTATTAAGCTTACGTTCTTATGTGAGACATAATGTCTTGATTACTTTGAAAAGTGCATGGCTGAAATAGCAATGCTGTAGATGGGCAATGGCAAACCATAAACAGAATGCATTATAACTAGATTCTTATGAAAGCAGTTAGTAGAGGATAGTTGACGATTGTGGGACGTGGCACAAACGGGACAGCCCAATGTACACTGAAATCAGTCTCCATAACATAACATGGCTGAGAGGTTGTGATTCCTGCACCAAATTCAAAAGTTCATGGTTTCAATCCTCGCATGGGTATGATCAGTGGAAACATAACAATAAAATATGTGAAACTGTACAAGAACGGAATAGCAATAAACCAAGCGTACGAACATCATCCTGTCTTTGGAAATAAAATATTTCTGGCATAATTAGCGCGTTATTGGTTTTGAAAGAGCACTGCAGACGGGATAGTTTATGTAATATGGAGATAGGATAATGTTAGGTGTCATGATAGGGATTTGGATCGGGATACGGATAGGGGTCGGGAAACGGATGTGTTTTTTTTTTTTTTTTTTGGTAATGTAACAAACCGTTCAACCTTCCCCACACCCGCAGAAATACTTTATGTTTCAACCATTCAGTTGACACATTTTGCATCTAGGTTATCAACATTGATTTTTTCTTTCCTGCTTTCAATTCAACTAATAAAGACACGTCATCGGAACTTACTGTTGCTGTCCACCTGAGGCCATATACGAATTGTACACGATCCGGGCCTGGTCTAGGCATGCCTGAACATGAAAGCCACACGCCATTTTAATAAGTAGATGCTGCGTGAACCTGAAAATAAAAAGGTACCTGTAGTACTATACAACACATAGGTAGCAGTTTAAATACAACAATTTGTCATACAGAAGTAATAAGATGAAAACAAAAATTTAAAACACAGGGTTCACAAGACGAGACAGACATAGACACCTTATAGCGGTAACACTTGTCTTGTATTTCACTGAGATAAAAAAAAAAGACAGTTCTTTATTTTATTTTTTAGTAATTCTGTTTCTTAAAATTGTGATGTCAGTGTGGCTTCTGCTGTGTGTGTCAGGACCGATATATCATCAAAGAATAATGCATGGCTCTTGAACAATCAGACGTAAGGCTTTGTAGAAGTGATGATGTCTTTACCTAAACTTAAGAACTATATAGGCTGGAGATCCTTTCCAGGGTGTGTGAGCAAGCGATTCAGCCCAACAGGTAAAACAGGTCGAGATGTTGGGGGGAGGGGTGGGGAATGGGTTACTGTGTACCTAGCTATCCGCCCCTTCAAACAGAAGATAATGCTCGCTCAGAGGATTTGATCATTTACACAGACGGTTCAGTGTCAAGAGGCAAAAGAAATGCTTGGGGCTTCTTAGGAAACGTTAATGGTCGACGTTTGGTGCAGGGGAGCCTAGTATATGATACCACGACATCCATCTTAAGAATGGAGGTGGTGGCGGTCATTGAAGCTTTCCGCTGGTTAGAGAACACCACACACACGCATGCACGCAAGCGCGCCCACCCGCCCGCCCGCACGCACGCACGCACGCACGCACGCACGCACGCACACACACACACACACACACGCGCGCGCGCACACACATATCTCGTGATTGTAACTGACTCAGAACGAATGCTGAGAAAGATCAGGACAGGCATGCTTCGTACAGAGTGGTGTGCTTCGTGCAGAGTGGTATGCTTCGTGCAGAGTGGTGTGCTTCGTGCAGAGTGGTGTGCTTCGTGCAGAGTGGTATGCTTCGTGCAGAGTCTTATTCTTCGTGCAGAGTGGTATGCTTCGCTGCGGAGGACACGGGTGAGGATTATTGTCTGGATTTTTTCACCAGGGAACGCCGGTGTGTTGAAAAAGCAATAGGCGGATAGACTGGCTGGCTCTGCACAACTTGGTGAAATACTGATGCATGATAAGGCAGACGTGATTAGTGCCTTGTGGGAAAGCGTGTACATTTGGAGGAGCAGATGGATCACCAGTCTGGTAAATGAACGAAGGAACAAACTTTATTTTCAAAGGGTTACAGATGGTGAGATTGATGCAGGGGGATGGACGAGAGATTCTGTCAGATGCTCGAGGCTCAGAGGAAAGGCAAGACGGACATTTAATCAGAATGCTACTGGCACCATTAGTATCGGAACTCCTCACTGGCTGCTGAAGATGGGGACGGAGCGCTTATGGGAATGCCCCAAGTGCTGTGATGTCAGTTCTTGAATCAAATCAAATCAAATCAAATCAACCCTTCAAAAAGACATCATTGTCTGTAACCCTATCCCTGTGGTAGTGTAGCTTGCTAAGTTTGTAGTTCTGGATATTTCAGCATCCGTTCACAGTTATGTCTACCTTTCATATTTGTTATAAAATACTACATCTTTCCTGCCTCCAACTTCCATGTGTCCTACTTCTCATTGCCGGGAGTTCACACTCACGTGCATTAGTTCACAAACAACCTTTGTGTAAACGCGTTTATGGGGTTTTTATTTCTCCTGCCGTGAATTCAAGTGAAAGAACGACAAGGAGATTGAATGGTACACAATCTTTCAACCGACAATCACGTTATAATCAAACCAAGTTTCTGGGGTTGTTTGTGCGTAGAAGGAAACCAAGATTTCAACAACAACAACAACAAAACAAGGGGGGGGGGTGGATACAATGATCCAACATGTTATTGAACAGTGGCAACAGCTGCCCTAACTGTTTGTTTCAAAGGTGATTATGTTTGTCAGATAAAGCGATTTATAAAAAAATCAAATAATCATGGTTACCCTCACTGATTAGTATTGTAATAACCTAAGTATTCCAGATTAAAGGCAAAGTTGGGAGGATTGACTTCATAGCACCGGGTTTTATCACATATGGCTCTGTCTCTTTCCGCAGAACAGCTAGCTACCTGCTGAGAGCGTCACACAGAGCACGACCTCTATAGCTCCGGTGACAATCATAAGGAATCTCCGTAAAAGTTGCAGTCGTGCACTTAACAGCGCAGCAGTTAAACGAGCCCAGGACTTTTCAGAGCGCGAAGCAAATGGTATGAGAACTTTGCCACGGACAGCTCTGTCAGTATTCCACAGAAAAATAAGGCAGACGAGAACACTTACATGTCCATATGGTCTTCTGTTGTGTTGACCAGCCCGAAGTGTTGGAACGGAATCGTGAGCCTTTCTCTCATGAACCTCTATATGTCATTGAATGAAAAGATGATGTCAGTATTCTAACCATTCCATCCCCGAGAATACATGTAACTCTTACAGGAACCAGTCAGAAATCATGGGAGATTTAATGTTTCTGGGAGTGGGGGAAGTTGATCTTCTAAAGTCAGGGAGACAGAAAACACCAATGTTCTGATGGTACAAAGACAGAAATACAAGTGATTTGACCGCACAGAGACAGAAATACAAGTGATTTGACGACACAGAGACAGAAATACAAGTGATTTGACGGCACAGAGACAGAAATACAAGTGATTTGACGGCACAGAGACAGAAATACAAGTGATTTGACGGTACAGAGACAGAAATACAAGTGATTTGACGGCACAGAGACAGAAATACAAGTGATTTGACGGCACAGAGACAGAAATACAAGTGATTTGATAGGCACAGAAACAGAAATACAAGTGATTTGACGGCAGAGAGACAGAAATACAAGTGATTTGACGGCACAGAGACAGAAATACAAGTGATTTGACGGCAGAGAGGCAGAAAACGTGAATTCTCTTATGATAGGGGACAGAAAACATGAGTTATCTAATAAAAGGCTACCGGAAATAAGGGTGTTTTAGAGTCAAGTGGAAAGTATATATGGGTGTTTTAATGTCAAGTGGACAGGAAATTTAGGTGTTTTGAAGCCAAGTGGAAAGTAAACTTGGGTGTTTTAAAGTCAAGTGGACAGGAAACTGGTGTTTTAAAGTTAAGTGGACAGGAACCTGGTGTTTTAAAGTTAAGTGGACAGGAAATTGTGTTTTAAAGTTAAGTGGACAGGAAAATGGTGTTTTAAAGTTAAGTGGACAGGAAAATGGTGTTTTAAAGTCAAGTTGACAGGAAACTGATGTTTTAAAGTAAAGTGGACAGGAAACTGGTGTTTTATGGTTAAGTGGACTGCAAACTGATGTTTTAAAGTCAAGTGGAGAGAAAACTGTTTTTTTTAAATCAAGTGGACAGGAAACTGGTATTTTAAAGTTAAGTGGACAGGAAACTGGTGTTTTAAAGTTAAGTGGACTGGAAACTGATGTTTTAAAGTCAAGTGGAGAGGAAACTGGTGTTTTAAAGTCAAGTGGACAAGAAATTGGTGTTTTAAAGTTAAGTGGACAGGAAACTGGTGTTTTAAAAGTCAAGTGGACAGGAAACTGGTGTTTTAAAGTAAAGAGGACAGGAAACTGGTGTTTTATAGTTAAGTGGACAGGAAACTGGTATTTTAAAGGTAAGTGGACATGAAACTTGTATTTTATAGTTAAGTGGACAGGAAAATGGTGTTTTAAAGTTAAGTGGACAGAAAACTGGTGTTTTAAAGGTTATTGGACATGTGTTCTAGTGTCAGGGAAACAAAATCCTGGACTAACAAGTGTGTTCACTAGTGTGGTCTGCATTAGATCTCTACTTTACTGGGCACTATCGTTTCTGTTTGCATGTTTCTGCAAGTTGTTCTAGTAAAAATTTACCTACTCATTCAGAATAGTCAAATAAGGTTATAGATGTGGGCACGACTGTAAAGCTATCCACTGCAGTAGTTACACCAGCTGTAAAGTAGACGTCTTGAACAAACCACTGCATTAGTTACACCAGCTGTAAAGTAGACGTCTTGAACAAACCACTGCATTAGTTACACCAGCTGTAAAGTAGATGTCTTGAACAAACCACTGCATTAGTTACACCAGCTGTAAAGTAGACGTCTTGAACAAACCACTGCATTAGTTACACCAGCTGTAAAGTAGACGTCTTGAACAAACCACTCCATTAGTTACACCAGCTGTAAAGTAGACGTCTTGAACAAACCACTCTATTAGTTACACCAGCTGTAAAGTAGACGTCTTGAACAAACCACTCCATTAGTTACAACAGCTGTAAAGTAGACGTCTTGAACAAACCACTCCATTAGTTACACCAGCTGTAGAGTAGACGTCTTGAACAAACCACTGCATTATTTACACCAGCTGTAAAGTAGACGTCTTGAACAAACCACTCCATTAGTTACACCAGCTGTAAAGTAGACGTTTTGACATTCAAAGAACAAATCGAAATATTAAACTATCCCAGTATAGAAGAGTTATTTCTGACGAGATCATCAGACACACACAAAAAAAGAGGACTGAAATCTGTCAGCTTTCAAATTGCAATCCAAAGTGCGCTGGGAACTTGCTGGACGTTGACAGGTACAAGGGAGGTGTGATTGTTACAGAAAATTATGTGACTGTCTTTTCTTTACTTTATTTGTTTACATTAGATTAGGGCAATCTGGCAGTTAAACAAATGTATGTTTGTTTGTCCAGAATCAAAGGACTATCAGAGTATGAGCTAAAAACATTCTAGAGAATCCAGAGGTGAAAATAAAGTGCTGAAGCTGGATAGAACATACGTTGAGTCAACAACTCACAACATAACCACAACGGTGTCAAAGAAACAAGAGGAAGCGTTACAATACAGATAGAATATAATTCTATACGAATAAATAATATAGAGGAAATGTGATGTAGAATAGACGAGGGAGTACAAGTTAGGCTGCCCTCCCATTAGTTGCTTCAGAGTAGAAAAAAACTAAGGACTTTTTTCGACGCTTCTGGGTGTATTGGGCACACACATCTTGACTGTTTGGTCTATACAACATAGGTCCAGCCTTTTATGCTCATTACTCCATCAGGTGTGGGAAAAGTTTTTTCTTTATGAATTTAATTAACTGTACTTAGTCACACAGAAATGTTCCTCTACGGGACAGTTGACGGACACTTGCCTTAAACGGTTCTCCCAGCTGCGTTGATTCCAGTTTCGAGCCTATCGTCAGAGTGATTTCTCTCCACGCCACATACCAAGGCGTATACTTGAGTTCATGGTGTAAGTATTCAAGTGTTGCAAGGGCAATGTCCATTGAAATGTAACTAGCTCTGCAAAAATAACCAGTGTCTCGTTATATTCTTGAGGTACGCCTTTGAAAGGAATCATGGTAAACTGACTGACTTTATTGTAGCGAAGCCAGCTTAAAGATAAAGTGCTGCCCTGTGAACGAGAATGCGAACTGACAAATTAGGGTGCACAAAGAGAGTGGTGTTTTTGCTAAATGATTTTTTTTTCCTAATCGAGGACAATCTGTTAGTTAGTTGCCTATCCTTTACAGGAGGTTGCAGAACGAGCCCCAGCATTTTTATACTGTTCTTTTTTTTTCTGGGCAAATTTACGTCTGGTAGTTTGCCATTGTTTTCTGGACGGTCAGCTTCTCGATACCACTGTCAAAACCACCGTAAGGCGCAGGGCCCGCAGCTGGGATCGAACCCGGCACCCTAGCATTACGAAGCGCGTTCGCAACGCCTTAGCCACAGACGCCAACAGTATGTTCTTATATGATATTTGCTCTTTAAAAAATATTACTTTGATACAATTTCATGAATTTAGTTGTAGAGAAAAACAGATAACTTACTTAGCCAGACTCCAGGCATCGTTGATGATCTGTGCTCTGTTGTTTACAGGAATCGCCTGCGAGAGAAATATGTGTGTTAATTCTCTGCAGAACTGACGCATCTGATCATCCTATTTATCAGCATCAGGTGTCCTGCAGACTGGCATAGGCGATCATGCATCTTCACAGACCACGATCAGTGACCTCTGGATCAGTTCCACCTATGATATTCCTCTGTGCCATCGCTGCAATCTATCCGTCATCATCTCTCTCGGTCTGCCTCTCCCTCGTCTATCAATACATCTGATAGTCCAGTGAATACAATGCTCTGAGACAATCTGTAGTTTGTGACTGGAATGTTAGCTGCATTATTCTTTTTACAAGTACAGTAGTTCTGTTTGAAAAGTATACACATTTCATCACCATCATCATCTCCATCATCATCATCATCATCATAATTGTTGCAATTATTATTATTAATACTACTACTATTATTAAAACGACTACTAACCCAACAGCTGATGTCGCTGCTGCTAGTGTTGTTGCTGCTGCTGCTGCTGCTGCTACTGCTGCTGCTACTGCTGGTGTTACTGTTGCTGCTACTGCTGCTGTTGCTGCTGCTGCTACTGCTACAACTACTGCTACTACTACTACTACTACTACTACTACTACTACTACTACTACTACTACTACTAATACTACTACTACTACTACTACCACTACTACTAATTCTACTACTACTACTACTACTACTACTACTACTACTACTACTACTACTACTACTACTACTACTACTACTACTACTACTACTACTACTACTACTACTACTACTACTACTACTACTACTACTACTACTACTACTACTACTACTACCACTACCCATTTCCTCTTAAACTAGATTTTCTTCTACTTGGCCGTCTTTAATTAGTTCCTGTCTGCTCGATAAACAATCAATTGCTGTAGATATGGTATTGAAATGTATGATAACCACACCCGGTTATATTCAGACGTGTGAAACAAAGAAAACCCTTCATGTAAAACAATGTGATACTTACAGAATGGTTTCTCTTGAGCTGTTGAATCAGGGCCAGCCAGTTGCGGTCTTGGTAGTTGACTCGATAGTAGCCATACTGGTGGAGATTGGCCAGCACCCAGCCATCGGGGTCTGAATAGTTGGGTAATGGGATGCTCACGTGGAGCGTTTCTGTTGAAAGGCACAGAGACAAAACAGGCAATAATATCTGGATACAGAGAAATACCAGTTGTAAAAGTCGTATTTTTCCCGTCTAAGAACAAGACATTTATCAGCTGTATGTCTGTTTAAATAAAACTTTGAAGCTAACGAATCTGCAGGATTGCTTCAGAAGCATAAAAAAAAAGTATGAATCTAGAAAGAGAGATCGACAACAGAAGAAATACAGAGTAGATTAATACATTAGCACGTGTTTATCACGGCCACATCAAATGTGACAGTAGGTGGTGTATTGTGAGCTAAAAGGCTACTGAATGATGCAAGCAATGAGCAAAAATGCAACGGCCACTGTCTGGTATTCACTGTGGCTTTAAAAAAAAAGTTGTACTAGCGTGTTTGAAAAATTTTGTAAAGTCAACAGTACCCTCAATTACTGGGGAGACTTAGGACATTTACCAGCAGGCGTCGCCCCTAAACAGCCGTTAACGACTTTACAGCCATGCAGTTCTTTGGCAGACGAATGTTTCGAGAACTAACAATTTTATGTTCTGTTATCAAATTAATGTCACTTCACATTGGGCATACCCATGCGTGCTCAGTTCTCTGGAGCACAAGCAGCCACTCTAAAGTACTTCTATAATTGTCCCCATGAGAAGCAGTCTCTTTGAAGCTCGAAGTAGATCACCATAATTGCGTGTTAAGACTCTCGCCAGTTCGTACAGCGTTGAAATCTGGTATACATCAAATATGACCGTGAGCTAAAAGGACACAAGCAAATCACTGTGGCAAGTTGACATGTTTGAAAACTTTGTGGCAACAGTAAACTTTTGAGACGTTATAAGTAAACAGCCACGATTATAAAGCGGAGACGATGTGAGAACAAACAACTTAAAAGTGGGCCAAAACTGGACAACTTCATGTGAGGGACCAGTCCGAAGCCAGTAGACAATAACTGCAAGACTTCGCCAAATGGTATAACCGCGACAAACAAATCACGGACTTAATCCTAAATTTTTATGATCTTATGCAATGCTGATCAATAAAAGCCCATGCTTATCAGCAAGCAGATAAAGCGCTGTCGGTTAATACTATGTCGTGGAAACATCCATATCTTTTCCTTTCATAGTTAAACCAATTTACAAACAGAAACAACTACCGCTATAATGTATGCAATATATGTAGTAGTTTGCCTGTAATCTGATTGTCCCTTTGTTCACTTACTAGAGCGTTCTTCTTTGTCCAGCCAGTAAACATCCTGACCAGTTTGGTTAAATACTGAATGATTGCTTGAAGCGAGGGTCAGCGGGATCGTCCAACTGTAGCTGCAAATTTGAGGACATAAATATGTTTGCAGCAAAACTGAAATGTTCGCCAACAAAATATACAAAAGAAAAGAATAATTCTCCCATCTAAGAGAATGATTTTTTTTTTTAAACCATATTTTTACAATTGCAGAAATTTTAAAAGGGTTACAGAGAATATCAAAATACTGCTGTAAGCAAACACAAATGGGATGTGCAATAATGTGACAACTTAAATGTAATTTCCTTTCTTGTACTGCTTTGGGTATTGCTTTGATAATTGTTTTATGATGAAGATATGTTTCTGCAATATCGATTCTATGTTTATTGTTGTTGTAATCTGCAAACATGAAGTTTCCGTTTCTTTTAGGGGGAAAAAAGACAACTCGAAAAGGAAGAGTATTGTTATCGAAAGTTACTCTCCATTTTTATACATTTTTGTAACAAAGGGAAACTAGAAGACATACCAAGAATAGGAAAAGAGAACGGGAAAATGCTAAAGGGAGACTAGAGAAACCGATGCTGGACATTTTGACATTCAAAAGCAAAATGTTCATTACACAAGACCAATGACCGTGGGTAGATGGGTAGAGAACTATAGATCCCCCTCCCCCTTTTCCATGAAATACTTTAAAAGGACACACAACTGATGTTCAGTTGTTTGCGTTTAAGACATCCCTTTTTATTGGTGCCTGAAATACTTCTTGGTCAGTTTTTCTAAATACAAAATTTGAAGCAAGCTTCCATCTGGAGCTACAAAAACGTAGACATGATCCGTGTTTCCTTCGGCGTCAGATGCATCTGCCAGAGAGGCAAGAAACCAACAGTCTTCACACAGATAAGCAGATCTATAAAACAGATGTGCACGCAATACTTAAGTCCTGGAACAAGGCTAAAGTCTAGAAGCGGATGAATAATTACAACTGTTCTCTCAAGAGTTCACCGCCGTGAATTAAAAAATAAAAACAGACGAAAATATCACAACGTGTAAGTAGCTCGCCCGTAAACCTTGATGCTACAAACTGTACCTTTGTCCTAGTCTGATTGTAAAGTCTTATCTCCTGGTGGCGATCAGTGTTGTGTTATTATAGTTGTGGGCATGCTAGATACGTCCTCTGAACACCGGTGATCTCTAGACGTTGCTAAACTGCAGCTACTTGTCTACAGTTTTTTTTTTTTTAGCTTTTACGACTTTTTAGCTAAGTAGCCACGGTTTACGGAGGTCTGCTACTGAAACTATTTACGACAGGATATGTGGCAACTGAGAAATCGGATTACTGAATTAAACAAGAAGAGGGCGGGGTGGAAGAGTGGCGGAAAGGAGGGGCGGGATGATGAAATGAAAGGGGGGGGGAGGCGGATCATCAGGAATTAATGATCACACATTTTCAATACCACTTAGGGAAATGTGTAACCTAATGGCTCTGTAGAATAGGCGAAATGTGTACAGTAAGTGTGCTTTTGTAAATGTTCCTTAAAACAGAACACGCTAATGAAGAGAGATGTGGTACTCACTTGAACGGTGATCTGCTCGTATCCTGGTCCTTGTCTAAAGGGTCCAATAGGAAGCGTTCTTGTGTAACATGTAGAACGCTGTTGTTGTACAAGTTCTGTGTCACCGTGACCACCGGGAAGTTCCTCTGAAGGATCCAAGGGTCCAAAAACTCCTTCACGTCGATGTCCAGGCCGTCGGACTTGGCTTGCTAGAGAAAGATTAGTGTCAGAATCTTACAGGGCAATGGCTGGAGAAAGATAAGTGTCAGAATCTAACAGGGCAACGGCTGGAGAAAGATAAGTGTCAGAATCTAACAGGGAAATGTCTGGAGAAAGATTAATGTCACAATCTAACAGGGCGATGGCTGAAGAAAGATAAGTGTCAGGATCTAACAGGGCAACGGCTGGAGACTGATTAATGTCAGAATCTAACAGGGCAATGGCTGGAGACTGATTAATGTCAGAATCTAACAGGGCAATGGCTGGAGAAAGATTAATGTCACAATCTAACAGGGCAATGGCTGAAGAAAGATAAGTGTCAGGATCTAACAGGGCAATGGCTGGAGAAAGATTAATGTCAGAATCTAAAAAGGCAATGGCTGGAGAAAGATTAATGTCAGAATCTAACAGAGCAATGGCTGTATGTTTTTGATATAGCTGTATGTCTTTTCATCAGATAAATTACTCACAGCCAATGGGTCAGTATATTTTTTTTTAAAGAAAAGATATTTATTTAATGGGCGATGGAGTAAAGGGACGACTTTCTCTGCGAATGTCCTCTTTGCCATTTAAATGGCCATTCTATTATGTGTCACACCTAGAATATTTAAACTGTGGTCCTTCAAGGGTCCTAGCTATGCCATTGTTTATCTTCTACTCACTTATTTTCATGAGATATTATTTCCCTTTGTAATTCTGTCTGGGGTCAGGGTTTTGTTTCTTGTATGACCTGATCATTTGAGGCGCTATTGTACAATTTATTTTGAGATGTGCTATTAAATATAATTCCTAAACTGCCTTTGAGGGCATCAGTGTGTAAGATAACATGCTACTATTTTCATGAGGACGTTAGGATACACTTTCGCTGTGTGATGACTTGGTTACCGACACATGTGGACGTTAAGTTGGATTAAGCAGCAACAGTCATCAAGCTGGGTAACCCCAGGTTCCCGATCACAAGTCTCTCGAAACATGAATTGAATTACTGTATAGTTCTGATAAAGATTTAACGTCATAGTTTGGTGCATGGTTGAGAGATCTCGAGTCTTACCGTCATAGTTTGGTGCATGGTTGAGAGATCTCGAGTCTTACCGTCATAGTTTGGTGCTTGGTTGAGAGATCTCGAGTCTTACCGTCATAGTTTGGTGCATGGTTGAGAGATCTCGAGTCTTACCGTCATAGTTTGGTGCATGGTTGAGAGATCTCGAGTCTTACCGTCATAGTTTGGTGCATGGTTGAGAGATCTCGAGTCTTACCGTCATAGTTTGGTGCATGGTTGAGAGATCTCGAGTCTTACCGTCATAGTTTGGTGCATGGTTGAGAGATCTCGAGTCTTACCGTCATAGTTTGGTGCATGGTTGAGAGATCTCGAGTCTTACCGTCATAGTTTGGTGCATGGTTGAGAGATCTCGAGTCTTACCGTCATAGTTTGGTGCATGGTTGAGAGATCTCGAGTCTTACAGTCATAGTTTGGTGCATGGTTGAGAGATCTCGAGTCTTACTGTCATAGTTTGGTGCATGGTTGAGAGATCTCGAGTCTTACCGTCATAGTTTGGTGCATGGTTGAGAGATCTCGAGTCTTACCGTCATAGTTTGGTGCATGGTTGAGAGATCTCGAGTCTTACCGTCATAGTTTGGTGCATGGTTGAGAGATCTCGAGTCTTACCGTCATAGTTTGGTGCATGGTTGAGAGATCTCGAGTCTTACCGTCATAGTTTGGTACATGGTTGTGAGATCTCGAGTCTTACCGGAATATCACTAGCTGCCCATGCAGACATTTGAGATGACAGCTGAAATTATTAGTCCTACAGCCCTGTCTGTCTAATCTTTTAGCTGTACAACATTAAGAGAATCTAGGGGTGCTTTTCTGTGGGCTTCGAAAATCTAGCTAATTACTGGACTCTACATGAAAGTGGCTGCCTGCTTTTGATATATTTATTAGTCTTCTCCAGAGATAATTTGTATAAATTTTGAGGGTCAGTGTACTTTTATTTTCTTTGTTCTTTTAACATTTGATTAGTAATTTGATGAGGTCTTTAGAACATATGAAGACATTTTCAAAAACGTTTTCCAGCAGAAATGATTTCCAAGTTTGCCCGATTCGTTAACACACTACGTTCTCAAGCTATATAAGAACCCTTGAATGTTTCAGTTATGATTGTGTTGCCTTGTTTTCTATTTGTTTGTTTTTCTCAAGCTCGTTTGATTCTGTAAATGGTCCTCACCTTAGTAAACTTGTACTCAGTAAAGCGCAACTTAATCGTTCGGGTAAAACAAGACGCATTGTGTAAAGGACAAAAAAAAAAAATGGCTTTTGTGTGAATTAAAGTGCAGACTCAGGCTGAAATGTCAAGTACGAGGGAGGGATAGGAGACCCAAGTTCTAGTCCTAGGTAGAATCCTAATATGCACAGTCTGTGGCGACTAAATCTAGCCAGGTGGCCTTAAATCCACAGGTCTAGTAATGTCATGGTTACACCACAAAGGTGCTAATTAGAGGCAGTAAATTGCAGTTCTTGTAGTTAACTCAAGGTAGCTATCAAACGCAACATGCTAGCAACAGCCATAGGAAAAGAAAACAACACATGCAACAGTAGCAATATTTACCTCAGTCATATCGCTGTAGAGATCATCGCGATCAGCTGAACCGTACAGGCGCTTCTTGAGGAAGTACTGACATTGAAAAACTTGGTATTATTCATAAGTTAGGATTAGATACTTACACTCATTTTTTCTCCGTAATCAGATACATTTTATTAAATAGTTTCATTACACACAATTTTTCAGCAAACTCTGGTAGACACATATATTACGAAGTATATACCCAGTCAACCTCCGATTGGCTAATCACAAATCAAAACAATTTGCAATGGCGACACCATTCATTGCTCTCATCATTCAGTAGTCTTTTAGCTCACAACTCAACGCACATCAGTCCTATTTGGTCAGTGGTTCACCAACTGCGAAAGAATAAGGCTGGAAATAGTCATTGCCTGTCCCGGCGGCTGTGAAATTCGTGGTGTGATTTGTTTTCTTCAAGCAGAACATCAAAATGCAATGCTTATCTTTGACGTTCGTTCTCCGCTACTAGGAATATAGAAATTTACTTCGCAACAGAACAGTGACTGGGAACGAGACATAAAAGTTCATGCTTTTTGTCTAAACAAGCCCAAACAAATTCACGCTAACATTTCCACAACGAAAAATGATGGTGCAGTGTTTCAGAATCGTATGGACATTTTTTTTTTTTTCGAGAGAATTCCTGGTACTAGGGACAACAGTAATGTTCAGAAATATTTTGTGAAATCCTTAAGAAGAGGGCCGCGTTAGCGCAGTCGATAGGAGGCTTGCTTTCAAATCCAGCTGTGACTCGCTGCAGCCAAGGTTGGTGTTCAAAACCGGGTGATTCCCGTGGTTCACCCAGACCCTAGGAAGTGGGTACGAGAGTGACACTCTAGGGTACATGAAGGAACGTCGCTGAAGCTACAGAGTTACGTGTGGACGGCGACACAGGCGGACAGTTACTTATCAGCTAAGCGCAAACAAATAAAGATGAACACTGATATTGCCGTCAAGTCAACTGTAAAATTCGTGTTGTAATTTTTTTTTTTTTTTTTTTTTAGTTCACATCTCCTGACATTACATTTTTAAATTTATACCTTAAGAATCTTCATGGGTCACGGCCAACTCAAAGGCGCGAAATGCTCACCAATGGCGTCATTATCCTGCACGACTACGCACAGCCCCACACTGTTGCTTGCAAAAAGTCTTTACTTGAGCAGGTTAGTGGGACATTTTTAACCAACATTCCCTCTTTCCACCTACCCAACAGCGCAGAAGGAATGTCAGAGCCCAACCTTTGGACGGTCTGCTTGCAGAAAACTAATTACAATTCGAATTTTACAGCTGATATGACGACATTGGCAGTGGCAGTGTCCATCTTTATTTGTTTGCACTTCGTGAACCACTGAACCAGTGTGACAGGAGGCTGGTGTACAGTGAGCTAAAAGGCTACTGAATGATGCAAGCAATGAACGGTATTCTTTACAAACCACTCAAAGGTTGATTTTGCAAAAGCGATTGTTTCTGTGCTGTCCATGCATCTCATTTAATTTGACAAACTCACACATCCAGCTGCGGAACATAAATAAAGGGAATGCCTTTAGCTGACTTTTTATTTATTCCTATTTGTGCCCTTTTATAACACTTGTTCTTAAACGTAACCTTTACCTTTATTTTGGAAACTCACCCATCTTACCCATTGAGTTTCCAGCTCAATTGTTTACATTGTTACTGCCGTAAAAGCAAACCGAAAGAGCACTTCACGAAAAACAACTTTAGAGGAGTAGCTGCAAGGGCTACTTTATTTGCTGAAAAGACCAAAGTCCAGACACAGCTGTAATAGAATCACTGATCTAAAGGGTGAGACAGCTACAGTTCTCCTTCTTTTTTCTTCTTCTTCTTCTTCTTCTTCTTCTTCTTCTTCTTCTTCTTCTTCTTCTTCTTCTTCTTCTTCTTCTTCTTCTTCTTCTTCTTCTTCTTCTTCTTCTTCTTCTTTTCTTCTTCTTCTTCTTTTTCTTCTTCTTCTTCGCTCCCCTTAAATGGATGGTTATCGCGTTGTATTGTAGGTTACAGCTAGGCTGCGATATTGATCCAAAACGTCAAATTTCAGCCAAACCTAACCTATTTGCCCACAGCCATGTTTACACTTCGATACTGCAGCCATTGAGACGGTGATTGTCCTCTTATTTATATAGAGAAAACACATCATGATAAAATGGAAGCAATTAGTACAGATATGAAGTGGATGGCTAAGATGAGGTTTACCACAGGCATCATCGTGTCTGATTCTGTCAGTGTTACAGGAGGTTCAGAATGGACAATTGTCGCATTAGCACTCACACTGGGCAAGGAAGACATTCTGAAGACCACTTATGAGGGAACACAGATGGAAGATAGGATGTTAGATGAAGTAACAAGTGTAAAGATGTGTCAACGAGGAATTAAGTGTGAAGTGGACACAAAGGACGTGTGAGAAAAGAAGCATAACGTGTGTACAAACAATTACTGGAATGACTGGAACAGTTAGCATCTACACCTTAAACCGTTTACTGTTGGAGACAGAGCATCTATGGGTGTGTCCGGTGTGCTATCATATCATTTCTTAATTTAGCACAGGCACATTGACACAGACAAAACATGGATGGGGGGGGGAATCTATTGCAACAACACCCCCTCCACACACACACACACACACACACACACACACACACACAAACACACACACACACTTCTCACTGCAAGACATATTTTCTAGACCAGTGGTTCTCAACCTTTCTAATGCTTTGACCCTTTAAAACAGTTCCTCATGTTGTGGCGACCCCAAACAATGCATTTATTTTCGTTGCCACTTGATAACTGTAAAGAATATATATTTTCCGATGGTCTTTGGCGACCCCTGTAAAGGGTCATTTGACCAACAAAAATGTGGTGGGGGGAGGGGGCGCGGCTACACGCTGAGAACCGGTGTTCTAGACAAACACAGGTGGTATGAATGGGTCTAGTGCTTG